AAGTTCATAATAGAATTTAATCATTCACAAAAACCACAATTTATAACATAATATTTCATGTATGTAGGTAGACTACTGTAAATCTACACATCAAACATATCTCGTCCATCCACAACATAAATCATCTCAAATCAATCCTCACAGGGTCACAACACTTTAGAAAGGGCGTGTACCGACGTATCAACATTGACGTATCTTTTCCTAAGAATAGTATACTAGCCCCCAGCCTCGAATCTATGTGGACAAATAGTGGTTAGCTCTCGCAAAAAATTAAACCCCCTACGAGTGTTAGGCAATCACCAAACTTTTCAAGGTAGAAAAATCTCTAACACTCTACGATACGCATTCGAGTGTAATCTACGTTTATCACTCCCATCAATACAAGAGATAAAAACAACATTTTTCATAAAATTCAACTATAATTAAGAATCACTGATCCATAACTTTTTCAAAGGGATAATTCAATAAACCATGCAAGAGATCCCACAAAAAATATATTTGAATTGATAGTAATCAAGATATATGGTTTTGTAATCAAGGATTTAAAATCTTTTGATGTAAAACATATATTTGGATGTAAACCATGTATTTTATTTAACACATATTTAAAAAGGAATGTAAAAACATTGTAGATCTATCACATAAGTGGACTATGAATCAAGAACTAGATTTTTAAATCAAGAAAGAATAGATCTTGGAAGTAAATCATGTATTTTGTTCAAGAAACGAATCATGAATTCAAAAGAATGTAAAATCATTGTAAATAAATTATTTATATCATAATAATTATGAAAAAGATATATTATATAACCCTAATCATCAATGAAAGAATTTAAGAAAGAACTCCTTCCTTGATTCGTGAGATTTTGATCGTAATGTATTTTGTTGCGATTACCACATGTTAATCTTTTAAGATTCAGCTCGTTCTTCCTCCTTTTTTTCTCCTCAAAATTTTCTAGGGTTCTTAGGGTTAAAAAGATAGGTAAACAAACTCTAGATCATAGCCCTATAATATTTATAGACTAAAACAATAGAGAATTCCCGTTTGGGTGCGAGTAGTAATTTGTCCTTGACTTTCAGCTCGATTTTGACCTAATTAGACATTGATTCACGAAATTTTTGTGAAATAAGATTTTGTAGATCTTGAAGTCTAGTTTTGACGGTAAAAATATTAGGTCAATCGAAAATTGGGATAAAAATTTATAGTCAAAATACAAAAGTTATATCAAATTTCTTCCTAACCAAATCCTCTCCAAAATAGGTTTTAACTTTATAATACTTCTAAACTTCTAATAGAACTCATATAATCTCTTCCACGGTTCTTCTACCTTTTGGATTCAATGAAAACCTTATTTTAACCTAAAAATATTTATAAAATTACTTAACCACCCTTTTCAAGCTCACACATCTCCAAAACTCAATTTATCCTGAAAATTAATACGCTTGATACTCAAACTTTATAATCAATTTTTCAACAATGATTCTAATTTTTTACCATCATTTTATTCACCTTAGGATAAATATTAAAATAATATTACCCTTCTTTAATCTTTAATATAGGCTCTTACAAAATTACAAAATTACAAAATTTCTTAAAAGTGGTGTTTTTTTATCTCAATTTTCTCCAATACTATTAAGAATCTGAAAATTGTTAATTAAGACAATTTTTTTTTATGAACATGAAAACAAAGTAAGAGGTAAAGAATAATGTTGTGGACACCACCTTTTTTTTACATCACTTGATGTGATACAATTCAAGTTAATAGGTATTTAATAAACTCTATGAAATCTACTAATTTAACGGTCTATGTTAAGCGCACACAGATTGTGCAAGAATAAAGTATAAGAAAGTGGTGTGAAGACCAAGAAGGGCTATGCCCTCCCTCATATTTTCAAAATTATCTTATTTTTCCTCTAGGTTTTAAAGAATTATAATATGTCCTCGTATGTTTTAAAAATTGGGCCATCAATGCTCGGCGTGCCCTAAGCTATCATCTGATTGCCCAAGTGAATCGGTCATAAGAACCTGAGGGGAAAACACTCATTATGCATAGAGAAGAGTGCGAGTCACTAAATGTTGAGATGTGACTCAGAGCTTCTGCACTCATTGTTAATCCAGGTATAAATACCCCTCAGAAAGATAAAAAAATGTACGCAAAGCAAAATCGAAAAAATACATTGTACTTATGTCTCCAAAGCCGACTAACTTAAATTTTGGAAGGGATTAGCTGGGTGTTCACCCGACCCTTTTCCTAACCATTTGATTGTTTCAAGTTCGTCATCCAGAGAGTCTCTATCTTTATTCATTGCAAGAATTCACCTGTGCATATTTTTAATTATAAAGTCGCGATCATTATACGATACTATAAAAAACTTAGTTCATAAAATTCAAAAATTATTTTTTACTTATCATTAAAAAATTTAATTTGTGACAATTTCAGACATTTATTCTCTCATTTATCACATGATGAAAAAATTTTGAATTATATATCATCATAAATATTCACATCATACTACTATAAACGTTAGTTGTGAGTAAGTGCATTATTGATGATATAAAATCATTCTTTATCCCTTGATTTTATAACAAAATTTATTATATTTTCTATTGGTCATCAAATTTATCTAAACAAATATTTTCTTCTTGGAGAACCCACTCGTCTACGTAAACAATATCTCTCATTTAGTTATTAAATTTTTAATGTGATGCTATTATTCTTTTTGAATATACTAATTGAATCTCTTTTATACAAAAAGACCCGCCGATCAATAGATACACTTGGTTAGTATTTGACACCTATTCCCAAGCTTTTACTGTTCGGGAACAAGAGCCTCGGGAATTTCTGAGGACATCGAGTTGGCATCATAACCATTAATACTTTGCAATGATGACTGTCTCTGTAAGTCTCGATGACAGAGGCTCATTAATAACTCTGTCACAATCATTCAAGTCGTCATTAATGAGCAGTCATGTCCATTTTATTGCTGGGTTCAATCGATTATTCTTGGCTTCTCTGAGCTATTATTCTTTGGTATCTTCTTCCAGTTTTTTTTTATTTTTATAATGACTATAATTATTCATGTGTCAATTTGAGATTGCTGAACTGCTTAAAATCTCGTCAAAATATGATACTAATAATAAATTATTGGATAATTTTATTTTATTAAATATTTAATTGTACCACTATTTTTATTTGGTCCCACGTAATAAATTCTTAATTCCGTCGCTCTCTATCATCGTTGAGGGGCAAAACATGTAAACTAGACTAAAATAAATTTCCTCGGGATTACATGGGCAAATCAGTCAAATAAATTTCCTAAACAGGAATCCTTTCTTAATGAAAGTAGACATTATCAAAGGGACAAAAAATTAGAAGAGGGGTAGAATCGGATCGGATAAAAAATACAAATCTCATTCTCAGAAACACAAAAACAAACAAAATAGAAAAGATGATGATTGGGGTGTGGAGGTGATGATGGGCTGTATTGGTTCGAACCAATCCAAACCATCATTGCGAATCTTCGGACGGCCGAGCCCCACCATCATTTGAAGCTGTAATGAAATACCATAAATACCCCTCCTCAATGCCCAAAATGACCTTGTTGTGTAGACCATATTACCCAAAATGCCACCGACTGCCAACACTCATCATTCACATGACGCCATCCCCTAAAAACTCATCATCATCAACGTAGTAGAAGAAGAACATTAAATCCTTGCCTATTCAAGCCGCCTTCCATGCTTACACATGCATGATTGTTGTGGCAGAGAGAGAGAGAGAGCAATGTCCCCCCTCCCCCACCCCACCCCAGTGTCTTTCTCTCTCTTAAGTCTTGCCACAGTCTTTCTGTACAATATGTTCTCTCTCCTGCTTTTCCCACTATATATATTGACCGGTCCTTGGGGTTCATTTTGCCCCCTCCCTTCTCTGCAAGTCTTCTCTTCTTCTTTTTCACTGCCAAGAAGAAACTCTTCTTACACATACTAAGCTTACTCGGCCAGAGCTTCTTCTTCTAACCAACCTTTGAAAAGGTGATCTTTTTTGAAAAGCTCAAGAGATGCAGGCCCCACTCCTCTCTCTCTCTCTCACACACACACACACAAACTCACTGTTTTCTTCTTGCTTTCTTTCACTAAACAAAGGTAGGCAGGGCCATGTACAAGGGTACATATTTTTAGTGAAGTTGGGAGTTCTGGTTAGTTGTTCTTGTACTCTGTAAACACACCAACTAGCTCAAGAAATGTCCATATTCCCTCTCTCTCTCTCTCTCTCTCTCTCTCTCTCTCTTTTTGTCTCTCTTTCTCTGTCCTACTTCCAGAACATCAAGAGGGTTTCACAGTCATTGGTTTTTATTTTTATTTTCATTTGTGGTTTGTTGTGTAATCATGTATATTAGAACTTTTTATATCTTATCTTGGGTAAATGGGTTAGGTTGTTAAGAGGAAGGAGTATATGTTTCCTTCAATGTTTTCTCCATGTTGGATACTCCAACATTACTTTTTACTAGTTTTTTTTTTGTTTTCCATCCCAGATAACAAAATACTTTTTCTTTAAAAATGTTTTAACTATTGTTTTCTCTCTGGTTAGTTTTGTTCTATTTTCTAATAAGAAATTCTCCAACTTACATGCCAAACAAGAAAAACATACACAAACTCACAAATAACATTCCTGAATTTTGAAGATATGTGCCTTTTTTTATATAAATATATATACGTTTTAATATATTTGTTGATCTGCAGTTTGTCCTGTTACAATCTTTATTCTTGGCTTCCTAGCTAGGATAACAGAAAGGAGCTATTTTTAAATGAGTGTAGATTTGGAGATACTGATATTCTATTGCTTTTCCTCCTTTACTTGTTATTTTATTCATTTACCTAAGAAAGTTCCAATTATATTAGACTTGTGCTTGCCCATAGTTTCACCTGCTCTGTTTTCCTCTGTTGCCACTCCTTTCTTGTTGCGAACAGCAATGATTAACTCTACTACCACCTAGCAGCCATATGTTTAAATTTTGTATAATTCCTCAGGAAAACAGACCGTAAAAACACATCAATTTCTTACACTTTTGGTCATTTGATTTGGTGTCCTCTGTTTTTCCCTCTTGCCTATCATTTCTGTGGGTATGCTGTTTCATTCATTTTTCTCTTTTCTTTTTTAGTCATCCCTCATTTTGTCTCAGTCCACTCTCTCTCTTTAATGTTTTTGTTGGGGGAGAAGGGTGAAGGGGGAAGGGATGAAGTTTGAACCTGCCGGTGGAAATGAGCTCGGATCACTCCCTCACCCATAGTCCCCATTCTCTGTTCTATGTACTCTTACAAAACTAGCTTTTTCTGCTAAATTTTAGATTGTTTTCTCTTTTAATATCTAATAGAATTTGAAGATTTTCTTGTTCCCAAATGGGCAGTTTTAATTTTCCTGGTCAAAATAGAAAACGGGTTGTTAATTAATCAAAGGTTTTGATGCAAGAAGACTGTCTTTTTTTATTTTTTTGTTTTGTTCTGTTTCTTGACATTAAAAATCAATTATTCAACACACCCTTTCCTCTGATAAACACACACACCCACCTTTCTCAAAATGGCTATATTTTTTGGTGTTTCAGGAACAGCAGAGCTAGTTTTGTGACCGAGCAATGGACAGGATCAACTCAAATCTATACCTACAGAACTGTTACATAATGCAAGAGAATGAGAGGTTGAGGAAGAAAGCAGAGCTTCTGAACCAAGAGAATCAAGCCCTTCTCAGTGAGCTCAAGCAGAGACTCTCTCAGTCCAACAACACCAACAGCCCGAGAGCCAACTCAAACTCCATTCCTGATCTCAATCTCTGCTCTTCCTCCAACAACACAAATGCTTCCAAATCCAGCAAGAAGAAGAAGTGAAAACAGTGGCTTAAAGGACATCATGGCCCCACCACCTAGAAGAGACTCCACTTTGATCATCTTTTTTTTTTTTGGTTGTAATATCGTAGGAGTCAAATAGTTGTAGTAGTTGTTGCAGTTTCTGTTATATTGGTTATTGGGTAGTAGTATCTATATGCACCAGGTTTACCTTTTCTATACATGTTTGGTTCTTTTATCATATCTTCTATTTTGGGGGTTAGAATGATGTTTTTTCTGAACTCAAAGCTGTACCAGCTAGAAAGATATATAATATCTAGTATTTAGTTCTGTCTCTCTCTGTCTCACACACTCACACACTTCTAATATACTGTGAATTCTCCCCTTATGAAATTGCCCATAATTATAATCAGATGTCACATATGTATGAGCAATACAGTGCCCATCCCCTTGTAACAATGTCGGTGACTATAACAACTACAATAAAGCAAAACTCTTCGCTTTAAACTAGTTTTTTTTTTTTTTTTGGTAACATTAGATTCTGCCTCTCTTTCCTGTGAGGAAGGAGAGGGAGTACCAATACTTAAGACAAAAGTACCAGATCTATGTCTGAGCTGCAGTGGTTCTCATCTGTGCATTGACATATGTAGCATCATTTTGTACTGCTTTTGTTTTTTTCCTTGTTTTATGTTTGCAATATAGTATCCCAACCAGAGGAATTATAGGGTATAAAAAAAACATGATACTGTACTAACATTACTAATTTTAGAAGTAAAATTATTTTTTAAAAAAATTACTACTTTTAAAAGTAAATTTATTTTTATAGGAAAAGTTAAAAGTAGTCTAATGAATTCATGGTCGATCATGAAAGATCTTAATGAATTGTAATTTCTTGTTTGCGAGTTAGTTTTTTTTATTTGTATGCTATAACTTGACCATTATAAATTATTATTTTCATGGTTAATCATATTTTTTTATAGTTGTAGCTTACACTTTAAAAACATGTGATTTTATATAAAAAATTTATAAATTATGATAGATATTATTTTCAATACCATAGTCTTTCCCTCTAACTATCGATAAAAAACTAAAGTGAGACCGTCTATATGTGCAACCTCTTATTTTCAATGTGACGCTTATCCGATAACCATTCAAAATATGACATTTGTCATTTTTTCTATGTATGCATATGTGTATATATATTATATATTGACTCTTTTAAATATTTAAGGTATTATTTAAACAAAAAATATGACTTTATATTATAGGTATTTGACTAGTTTTCATGTAAACAATTTACTTTTAAAATCAATTTACTTATTTCAAAAATTTAAAGTAAACTTTAATATTCTGTTTGATACAATGAAAAAAATAAAAGGATTGAAAGTTGGAATTATGGAAAGTTAGAGGGATAGATAAAACATTATATTTGGTAATAAAGGAAAATAAGAAGGATAAAAAATTGAATAGAAAGTGGATAAAAAATTAATTATTTGTTGAAATGTATCTTATTTGTCTATATATTTTTTAATATATATATATATATATATATATATATATATATATATATATATATATATTATATATATAACAATGATAAAATATATAATTATATTAAAAATTAAAAATATATTTTTTTCATCTTACCAATCACAAAAAAAAAATTAATTATTTTTATTTTTCATCTATCCTACTAAACACAAAGAAAGAAAAGTGTATCTGATGAAACATTCCTGAGAAAGGAGTGGATTGTCAACACGTGTCTACGACATCGAGGCACATCCTTCCCTCAGGCAATGCCACATGTCCTCGGCACATCTTCGCCTCTGGAGATGCCATGTGTTGTCGACGCCAAGGACATCTCCCATTTTCTTGGTACCATGTATCCTCGGTTCCAAATTTACCTCCACCCCGAGGCAGTCATGTGTCCTCAACTCTAGAGGTAACTTATGGGGAATGATTTTGCCATGTGTCTTCGGCTTCTAGAAAAGCTACTGATTGACAGTTGATCAGTTTCAACTAGACTAGAGATCATGAGGGTGCTCTGCACGATGTCCTCGGCTCTAGAGGTACTTACGGGGAATGATTTTGCCACGTGTCTTCGGCTTTCAGAAAGGCTACTGATTGACAACTTATCAGTCTCAACTAAACTAGAGATCATGAGGGTGCTCTGCACGATAAGGCCAAAATGACAGAATGAACAAGACACTCAATCAATGAGAGTCTGACACGTGGCATAAAGTGTAGGGTGAGGGAAAAAAAGACAAGAGTGGCTTTGCTTACATACGGCTATCTCAAGTAAATATTTAATGAACCATCAGTTGATGGGACATCCACAATAGCTCTGAGACCCTAGAAGAAAGAGCATTAAATGATCTAGGACCCGAGCATTAAGTGCCTCAATATTTACGAATGTGCATTTAATGCTCGGGGAGCCGAGCATTTAATAATGGGGCTTCCTCCATGCAAAATAAGAGGTACACTACCCCATATCTGAGTGCTACCTACTACCTAGATTGTCAATAATGATAGGTCTTTAAAGGCATAAATAGTTTTCAAAAACACAGTGCAAATGTACAAAAATTGACTCCTCAAGAATACTAAATAGTGTTTTCTTCTTCTCCTCTTTTAAAGAACTATCTTGATCGTCGGAGGGGATCAAGTAAACGGATCCATTTACTTATTTAAAAATTTTAAAGTAAACTTTAATGTTCTATTTGATACAATGAAAAAATGAAATAATTGAAAGTTTGAATGATGGAAAGTTTGAGGGATAAATAAAACATTATATTTTGTAATGAAGGAAAATTGGAAGGAAAGTGGATAAAAAGTTAATTATTTGTATTGAAATGTATCTTATTTGTCTATATATCTTTTGATATATACATTAATTTTATATATAAATACAATGATAAAATATGTAATTATATTAAAAATTAAAAATATATTTTTTCCATCTTACCAAATATAAAAAAAAATTAATTATTTTTATTTTTCATCTATCCTATCAAACACAATGGAAGAAAAATGTATCATTCTTATTTTCTTTCCTCGGAAAATAGAAAGTGTATCTCTCATATTTTTCGTCTCTCTTACTTTGTATCATTGCTACCAAACAGGCTATAATACTATGTTTCAAATTACATAAAATCATAGTTATCTCTCAAATTAATAGCTGAACTATACAACAAATGAGTTGAGTGTCGGTCGAAGCCCACTACCTGATTTTTATTGTTGTGTGGTCTGTGGAGCATCACACATATATACAATAAACTCCACATTAAGGGCAGTTATTTACATAACTCGAACATGATGCTCAAGTCCACCTGCCCTTTAAATGGAGTTAAGATGGTTATATGACTTAATAAACCATAGTTTTTCCTTTAGTCATTACTTATCGCATTAAAATAGTTTTTTGGTTGTAGTTTGACTGCAAATAAACTATGATTAGTCCCTAATTACTTATATTTTTTATGTAATTACTCCTCTGTTATTGTTGTCTTACAAAAATTCTAAGGGTTGACCTTTTTTTTTCAATGATAAGAGGCGTTTAGATCGACTGATGTGCATCTTTCGATCAATCTCCTCTTCGAGTAATTTACAGTTCATGAGGAATTACGGTATTCATAAGGAATTTACAGTTCCAAGAAGTTGTCAAAATTTAAACTCAAAAAACGTCTTAATTTGCAGCTCGTTTCTGTTATTACTTGAACTACTCTTTTTAAAATTTATTACTAGCCTTGTTTTTTAAGTAAATGACTATAGTACTAAAAAAATTCCCATGATGCATTTATTGAAAATCACTACCGAGGAGAATCAAGTAACAAATTGTCAAGGATTACTTAAAATTATTCGTGATTGATCAAGCAATTTCATATCCATTACAATTGTTGTGATTGATTATAAAATATTGTGATTGATCATAAATAATTTTAATTAATTATAACTTAATTTATAAAATATATAACTCGAGCTTTAACAAAACTATATTATTTGCTATCCATCAAAATATTTTTTGATTAATTATAATTTTTTAAATAATAACTTACGCCCCTTTTTAAAATATAAAAAAATTAAACATTGTAAAATACCATTTTTTTTACGATCCAAAAGTATGCATTCTCTTTTATTGATTACGAGAGAGAGAGAGAGGGAGGGAGATTGTGTGAGTGATGAAACGATCTAATCAGATGTACCGTCATCAGGGAATAAGTCAATGAAAGGTTTATTAGATTTGAAAATAGTAAGGAGGGGCCCACAACATCATCTCTAGATACGACATGGCCTCCTCCTCGTCCCACATTGCCCAGTTGACCTGAACATTAACTATTTATTGTCCTTTCTCTCCTTTCTTCTATTCATTTTTAAGGTTTCAATTTTAATTTAAATAATTTTTAATTAGTTAATTATAACAATAATAAGGTAATTAAAAAATAGTAAAATAATTTTTTTTACACGTATCTAAAAAGTAAAAATACGAGCAATTTTATTTCCTAATAGAATTCTTTTTTTTTTTGAGTAAATTACATTCACGTGGTCTAAAGTTGATCAAATAACAATTAGACCATCTTTTGTTGCCTCTTGTCGGTGATGGCCATCTCTTTTATATAACAAAAATATAAAATGACTATAATATCCTTTACAAGAACTATGAAATTATCCACAATCATCACACTGACCCCCACACCAACGAGTTGGTGGTCTGGAGGGTAAAAATTGAATTTTTTCGTTCAATACTTAATTCGAATTTTAAAAATTATGGTAGTTTGTTAGGACTAAACCTATTCTTCAACGCCATATCACATGGTGAGACCCTAGTTTTGACCCTAAAATAGGTGCAGTGAAATCCTTTGTAGATCTCTATGTGATACTGAGAGACAATACTTCTTAACGGATATGTAGAGTGACTTATCTGTATATTCATTGAATGTATCAAAAAAAAAAATGAATTGACCACCACAATAACCACCATAACCTTTCAAACCACCAAACACAACCTACCAAAAAATTTTAGTTGAGAGAGAGAGAGAGAGAGAGAGAGAGAATACTTTACGGGAACAATGACTCCCAACTAGACTTGTCAATAAATCGAATTTTGATTTGGATTCAAAATCAAAATTCGATTAATCGGATATAGATTGATAATTTTTACCAATAATTCAAATTCGTTATCTTATATTTTACGAATTCGAATTTGAGTGTTCCTATATTCGATCCTAAATTATCTATATATTTTATATAAATATTAAAAAATTAATTGATTATTTAAAAAAATTAGTTGCATTTTAAGAATAATTTGTTCAAATTTAGTTAATTAAATTATTCA